GGGGCAGGAGGAGCCAACCACTGATTTTATACTGGTGACTTTTTAAATAGCTTGGTCTCAGTATGAAAATGGTTTTAAAAGGCTATGCATAAATTATTGTGTATCTGGCCCTATCTGGTATAGCTTTTTATTTGGGCTAATTGAAAAATGAAAATAAAAGCATTGACATTACAACAGTGAAACATTTCAGCCTTGTTAATATTGTTCAATGATGTGGAAAACAATCACGAAGAGAGGAAAGCTTTTCTCTACAATATTTCCATTAAAATATGTTTCTTAGCAAGAACATTTAGTAGTGTACCTTAAACATTCTGACTTGTCAAAGCTAATTCCTATTAAACAAAAACCTTGATTAACCCTGGCAATTTCAAAGGACATGTTTTTTTCTTATATTATCAATCAGTTATTGAGCGTGTCATGCCTAAAGTGCTATTTGATTTTTCTCTGCTTCTAACTGTCAGTATGAAGCCAGCGTCCATTGCTCAGAGCTACTCGGTGGATACAAATGCAAATGCTTCACTTACATTAATTGTGTATGTTTGCATACACACATGATAAGAATCTGGAAAGTTCCTTGAATATTTCCTTACCCTTGTTATTATTCTTTCTCCACTCTGTTATTAACATTACCTTATGATTTTCTTATCACCTTGAAATAAAGCTAGGTCTCTGTCTTTTTTTTTTTTTTTTAATGTTCTCTCTCTTCCAGGTTAATGTGGAAGGTGTCCACTGTGACAGGTGCAAGTCTGGTACATTTGGTCTCTCTGCCAGAAACCCACTTGGCTGCAGCAGTTGCTATTGCTTTGGCCTGACTACACAGTGCAGCGAGGCAAGGGGGCTGGTTCGCGTGTGGGTGAGTAGGAAACTGCTGAGCCATGTAATGCGATAATGTTTTTTCCTGCTGGCATCTTTTAGTCAGGCACTGAGAGGTAGCTAGAAAATGGCCAAACATTTAAGCAATCATTTTCCTCTTTATACTTTGAGAAGTGGAGAGAGCGGTATGTTCCATTAGACAATCAGGGTCAAGGCATTAAACGTAAATAAGTAGATAAAAAAAACAGTGATAGGATAGCTGATGTCAAGCCAAAGTAAAGCTATTAAAACCCAGGAAAGGGCAAGTTAGTCGTGTGGGGAAATTATGCAGTCCAGTGCATTGTAACATAATCCCTGGTTTATGATACACTCTACCCAGGTGTATTCAGGGCTCACAGATGATTGTTGTGCAGCATAGATTTCCTATGGTTCAATTAATCTGCTTATTTTCATTGTTGTGGGGGCTTTTAATTTTTAAAAAAGACCTTATGGAAGGTCTATTTAAATGGAAGAATGAGAGGGTATAATCCATCAGAGCAAACGAAGAGCTCTCCACCTTTTTGTTGAAGACGGCCTTGGGAACTATGCAAGGCTGACAAATAAGGCAGATTGGATGTCTCCATTTATCTGTTCGATGAGCACAAAATGCACATTGAGACTGTTGCTGTCCATCCTGCTGTGCCAGCTCCTCAATTACAATCTGGAGGAGCTATGTCTAATGGAAAATGACTAGGTCAGTCATATCTGCTGGAAAGCATGTCTGCTGTAGAGGCAATGTCTGCCTAATGCAAATCGGCCAAAGCCCCTGACTTGTTTCATGCACCAGCTTCAATTGTATAAGGATACTTCAGGCTGAAATCAAGGCGTGATCTCTTACTAAAGAGTTCATATCTCTTGGTTAAAGTAGTATGAGTAGCACCCATTCTCCCCTTCCTTGTCCAATCCAATAACACCTCTTTCTCTTCCTAGTGGATGAAGTGATATATCATGATCTTACCCAGTTTTTCTCATTCTTCCAGTTTTGCCCATCATATACCATCCCTGGATGTGTTTAAGAGACAGGTGGACGAGGTGCTGAGAGATATGGTTTAGTGGTGGACAGATACGGTTGGACTGGATGATCTCTAAGGTCTTTTCCAACCTAGTGATTCTATCATTCTATGATTCTATGAAAGGCTGTAAAAGACAGACAAGTTACCATATTTAATCAAGATCCGTGACAGCAACAGTTCTGGAAAATTGCGCTTTGACCTTTGTGGCAGCACAAAGCAGAAACATAGTTTAAACCTCCTGATTATTTTGTGTCTCTAGATTAATTTCCTTTCATATTTATGCTCCTATCTAAACAAGTGTATGTTCACATCTTGTCTAGTTTTTGATACTCTCATGGCCTATTTCAGAGTCGATTCAGAGTTGTAAACCGAGTGAGACTGGATTCTGCCAGCTGCTAGTGGCTATTTCAGATACTCTCAGGTGCTTCAAGTGGCATTACACCTTTCAGCAAGCAAATCCTGTCTTGTATGACAATAAGTCAAGGTTGATCTGAAATTCAAATGTGTGGACCACTTTCTTGATATTTAAAGTTGTAAACAGTAAATTACCGCTACGTTAGGAAGTCAGAAAACTTCACGTAGGGCTAGCAGTGTTAGGAATGTTTCCATGTCTGGTCAGTCCATAGATGCTGCTGTAGATGGAAATACCGAGATAATTACAACACAGTACAGGGCTTGGTTGATTCCTCATTACCTGATCTCTATTTCCTGAACAGCCTGTTGATGGGATGACTGTTGGAGATATGACTCTGCATTAGTTTTCTTTGTTTTCCTCACTCTTTGGGAGAAAGTAATTTTGATACCAGCCCTTTGCATTTGTTCACACACTTCCAGTGATGCTTTCATCTGCACAGAATTACTAAGAGACTACAGGTTTTTTTGATCAAAATAATGATTTATATATAATGCTATTGAGACTCGTTGAAAAAGTCTAAGAAAATTCCATCTAAGTGGCATCCTTATATTTTCTGTTAAATCTGAATTTGTAGTTGCAGAGACCCTGAGCCCTCACTCTCTGCATATTGCCCGGAGAACAGTCAACTTGAACACCGTGTAATAGTACCAAGGGATCAGGCACTGTGTTCCACAGCCTCAGTGATGTCTAAGTGTTGGTGAGAAGTATGCTTCTTTGTAAGGTACATTCCTCACAATCCAAACAGAAGAGACCCAAGACTGAAATAGCACTATGAAAAGCTCTTCGATAAAATTCGTGGGATCACTTGGCAGTGAAACTGTTTTAACCAGTGCCAGTACGCTCTTTGTTAATGTGAGGACAAGGTGCAAAAGGCCGAAGGGGGAAGTCATTATTATCACAGCTTTATACCTGAAGGAATATTAAGAATGTTTATGACAAATTGCTCATGGTGTGAAATGAAATTGCCTAGAAATAATTTTTTAAAGAGTTAGAGTTTCAAGACTAACACTGCATGGGGAAAAATAGCCTTGATTTTCTTCTTGAATTTTTTCAAATATGCGTAGGTGACCTTGAAGCCAGAGCAAATGATTCTGCCACTGGTGGATGAAACGCTTCAGAGCAGCACTCTTTCGGGGATTGCATTCCAGCCTCCTGAAATAGTAGCAGATATAGAACAGGTGATGCAGGATCTTCGGTCAGAACCTGTTTACTGGAGACTTCCAGAGCAGTTTGAGGGCCGAAAGGTAAACGTAAAATTCCACTGAATACTAACATGGATTTATGTATTTTTCTTTTTCAATCTTATACGTGTATTTTGCGATGCCTTTTTTCACTTCTAATAAATATGTCATCACACAGTTGGAAGGTACTTTAAAAGAAAATAAATGCCATTCCATTATTAAAAATTATTTGCTCCATTATCATGGAAATTTCTAAGTCTGTAATATAAACAATATTGAAAATAGATATTTATAGACAGTAACACATAATATTTTTCCACAGGATAAATTCTCTCATTAACATGTTATGTGAAAAATTAAGCTTCATTGATTTAATATAACTCTCTTGTAACTATTTTTTCCTCCATTTTAAACAAAAAATGGCTGATCTTTAAATTACACAGGATAAAATGATTGAAAGAACCCTCCTTTTGGATATTGTTATGCACCTCTGTGACAATGTATTTTGCACTTTTGATATTTCTCAGTTTGGCTTGGGAAAATTTAGATGTTTCTTTCTCTAAACATAAACTTTGGGGAGCTCCAGTGCACATACAAATAAATAGATAACATTTTGGTTTTGGTGTAGTACAATAACAAATTGCAGATGGATATTTTTGAACACAGCCCTTGTCCCCAGATAGTTCCACAAGCATGTATTGCTATTTTCAACCACACGCACATTCATCAGAGTGAACACAGGTGCAGAGTGTGCCTAGCTCTTGCATATGCCCAGGAATTTATATTTAGCTAACTGAAAATGAGATTTCTCTTTGCACTTTTGTGTTTTGCTTCGTTAGCTGACTGCTTATGGAGGGAAACTGAAATATGCAATCTACTTCGAAGCACGAGAAGAGACAGGTTTTACTACTTACTACCCGCAAGTCGTCATAAGAGGTGGGCCTCCCACCCATACAAGAATTATTGTCCGGCATATGGCTGCCCCTCTAATTGGGCAGCTGACAAGGCATGAGATAGAGATGACAGAGGTAACGCTTCTATCTGCTTTTTTTCCCCCAACTTCCCAGCTCGCTCTTTTTAATACTGTCAGTAATCTGGTTTATTTATATTGTTGTCTTTCAGCATGAATGGGAATATTATGGTGATGACCATAGAGTCAGAAACACTGTGCACTGGGAATATTTTCATGATGACCCAAGGATCAACAGGACTGTGTCCCAGGCAGATTTCACCTGGAAACATTATGGAGATGACTCAAGAGCAAGCATAGCTGTATCCCGGGAAGACTTCCTGAATGTGTTGTATGATGTTCATTACATTCTTATTAAGGCTACTCATGGAAATATCATGAGGCAGAGCAGGTAACTATTTCATGCAATGGTCTGAAAGAGTGCAGTAGTCACAGATAACCTGATTAAGCTCCCCGCTATTCCCAGCAGAATTTTTGTTCATCACATAAGCTGTAAGCAGTTGCTGAGAAGAACAGGAGGAATTAGCCTTCAGCATAGCAGAATATGCAGGAGAGGGAAATATTATTCAACAGAAAATTTAAATCACAATAGGCAGGTGAAATCTTTATTTTCAGGATCCTACAAGAGAAAACACATGTAAGCCCATACATCCTGAAATCAAACCTGAGTTATTTTTTGAATAAATGTCTACTTTATGAAAACACGGTTCTGTAATTACATATAAATTTTAGCATATGAAGGAAGTTTCTCTTGCACGTGGGAAATCAGATAAAAAGTCAAAGAAGAAAGAGTAATCCTTTAATAAAACCCTACTTGATACAATATATTAGGGGCAGATACGTTCAGTTTATTCATTAATAAGATGATGAAGTAAAGATAACACACTAAATATGAAGTGGACATTGGACTGCAAGCTATGATAAGTAATACAAAAAATCTGCTGCAACCTAAAGGTCAGATACAAGATTTTACACTTTGAAAGGAGTAGTCAGTTGAACAAACAAAGACAACTGCTTAGTGACCTACTGTTCAAAGAGGGATTTGTTGTTTACAACATACCACCAAGTGAATATGATTCATCAATTGTATTCTTGTTGAGAAGTGCTAATATTCTTGCTGCATGTATAAACAGGTATGGCCTGCAAAGTGCAAAAGAATTAATCTTTTACTTCCACCCATACTAGTAAAGCCTAAAATCCAGTTCTGAATACTGGAATTCAAGAAAAAATTATTAGTTTAGAAGATAAGTGACCATCATCACGGGTCACAAAATATGTCCTGTAAGAGAGTATGTAAATGACCAGATATATTTAGAAACAAAAGATTGCCTTAAGAGGCACTAAATGTTGCCACAAAGAGAAATAAAATAATCAATTCTCTGTTGCCATGGTGGGTAAGTCAAAAAAGAAAAGAGCTTTAAATTCAGCCGGAAAGATTCACATGAGAAAGAAAAAATCCTGGGGGTAAAGAAGTTCTAGAATTGATTAAATAGACTAAAAGAAAAAATTATATTACTTAATTTAGTAATTACATTACTCAAAACTTTTAATAATGGATTCACAGTATCCTTTGCAAGCAAAATTTCTTAACAAGGACACAGGAGTAATTGGAGGTAAACTCCGAAGTTCTCCAGACATCCTTTCTAAGATTCTGTCATAAAAGTGATCGGCTAAAATTATTTCTAGATTTCTAGGTTAAAAATAGGTCTGTAAGAGTATGGCCTTTGGAATTTGAGGGTGAATAGTAGTGCAGATACCATGCAACTTGGCAGCATTGTGTGACAGAAAACACAGTCATTGTTGCTGCTGTTGTCTGTAAAGTATATCATTTACAGAAAAGTATTCGTCCAGCTCACACTGGCTAGATGCTGAATATTAACAACAGATGCCATCAATGTTTTATATTTGTTTCATGTATTTTTGGCATTGTCCAGTTAGGATATTGTATTACAAGCCCAGGGAATTCCCATGGAGAGTGTTATGAAAGTAACTCCAATGCGACATGGAAAATTTGAGCAGCTTATCCATGTTTTGTGTCTGTTTCTCCCTTCCCTTTATGCACTACAGATCCTAGTTCAGCTGTGGAAGCAAAAGCTGAGTACTACCGCAGCTCAGGCGTCACAGGCGAAGTTATGAAACTGAGCCTCTGTGTTCATTATGTTGTTCTGAGTTGCATATGACTGAACTAGACCTGCCTCATAAAACACCACCATTTTATCAAGGCTACCTAGTCATGAGGCATAGAACAGAACAGAGGAGGAATTTCAGTTTCAGGGCAGGCTTGCAAGGTGACACTTCAAGAACCAAAATGTATTTTTACAGCATCGCATTTCAGAATGTGGCATTTTACATGACAGCAGGACTTATCAAAGAGTTAATCTGTTTTTCTGGTAGCTCTCCATCTGAAGTCCTAACCTTGCATGTAATACCTTATTTGATTCTGGAGGCGATTATGTTGCAATAGATTTTTATGCTCTGTCTAGTTACATAGGTAACATTCATCACATGGCATCTGAGACTTTAAGAGGAAAATAAGCATTAGGAATACCTTATTATTTTTTCAGGTTAGCACCTTGTATGATTTCAGATGAATTTTTGCTTAAGACCACAAAATAAATCCCCAAAAATGTTTTTAAAGGTTAGTGGAATATTAGCTTGCATTGGAACTGAATTTTTTTATTAAAAACAGTCTGAGACCCTGTAAAGGACAGTATTTATGCTCAACTTTAAACATATTTGAATTCAGTGACTTATAATAAAGCATTTGTTTAAATAGACTGTGTTGTGCTTTCTAAATAAGGACCCTGTTCAAAAATGGTGAAGTTTCTCTTCCTACCTGACTGTGCCTGGTAGTGTAAAGCAAAGTATAACGCAAAAGTAACTGTGTATGGGAGAAGGAAAATATATTTGAAGTCTTTTTAATTTTTGTAAGGTTTTTAATAGTGCCTTAATTTCAATGGCAGAGTTTAAAAGCTGCAGATAAGTGATAAACTACAGGAAAAGCACTTTAAAATAAAAAGTCATGGCAGCAGCAGCAGCTGGAAGCATAAAAATAGCCTAGTTCTAAGTGTTAGCGCTGCATTAGCTATACCGTTTAGCAGCAATGCTAATGTTGTTTCTGCTTCAAAACTGTAGCGTTACTAGTGATTTAGAGATTTCTGCTCAGAATCCAGAGCCAAACATTTTTCTCCTATATTGTTCATTTTGTTGCCTGCTTAAATTGAAACATTTCTTTTATTAGATTTTGTTTTGCTTTTCAGGCGACTGGGCTGTGATAATAAATTAGTTTGAATTGGAAGTATGCTTTCAATTTGCCTGTGAATTATTTCAATATCCCTGACACTGATCATGTAGCAGTGGTTGGACTGCTGCCTATTAGGCATGTTCCAAGAATCAGCCAAGCCTGACCTTCCTTAAGTAATATCTTCACACAAACAGCGGGTTACTTTGTGGTCCCAGAGTATATTATTATGTAAATACAGCTTTCTGACAGCAAATAGGGTTGGGGTTTTTTTTTGCAATACACAGATTGTTGCCTCAGCCTTGAAGATGATGGAAATGCAGATTTCATTTTGGTTTTCCATTAAATGTACAGAAATTTCAATGTAAGCTTACACTGAAATATGTAATATTTCTTGACATATCAGATCTAAATGCTTTTGCCCTCTTTATTTTCAGTCTTCTGTTTTGACCTGGCTTTTTTTGCTTGCTTGCTTTTTTTTGTTTAGATTCCCTCCTCCACTGAACCCCTTTCTTCAAGTAGTAAGAAGGGAGCACAGGGTTCAATTTCCTAGGTGATTTGGGGATTTTGCATTGACACAATGTACCAAAGAGGTGTAGGTCTGGTCACCTGAGCTGAACCACAAAACTCTCATTTAGTTCAGCAGTGGGCATTTGCACAGTCATCCTGACATCAGTGCCTCTGTGCCAACGTGCACAAGAAGGGTGTTGCAATTATCAAGGTTTAACGGACTATGAGTGTGAGGAGGAGTTGAGCAGTTCTGTGGGGTCCTCTGCATTAGCCCTGTGCACAGGCACTTCATGAGTAGGCTCAAGCTGCGTTACCAACATTTATTCAGCTGGCTATTCACACATTCGTCAACGTTTTCTCTTAGGCTGGCATTATACTTGAAGCTTTAAAATTTACACTATTATACCCTTTTTATGTACCAAAGACAGTAAGGAGTTTCAAATCATATTATTCGTTTAAAAAAAAAATATAACGAACACCCAAAATAAAGAAGCCAAAAGGACAACTCTGTGGTACATTAGGATTAAGTGTATATCATTAGATATTACATTTTTTGTCTTTATGATGTACTCAACCCTATCTGGCAGGCCAGCATGCGTACTGGAAAACAGGGAGTGGTTGGGAGGCAAGGATATTATTTTTAATACAATCAAAACAAGTATTTGGAAAGTTAAAATTTCAGAAACTCTACCATGAAACATAGCCCTTTGTCATACTAACAGATGCTTCTGCAGTAGGATTCGTTGTTTGCTTCAAATTGTTTGTTTATGTGTCTAAATGATGCTAAGGGGAAAAAAGGGGGAGGAGGGTGGTGATATCTGGCTACAGATCTTAAAATTCCAGTTAAAAAGGCAAATGTCCAATGTCTCTGAAGTCTACTCTAGAGCTTGTTACATTGCTTTAGTTGCTGGGGATAGATTTTATTTTTTAAATAGTTGCCTCATTAAAAGCTCATTTAGTGAACATTTTTATTGCTGTACCTCTGAGCATCATGAATTGGAACGGCATTTAGTATGTGACTTCAATTTCTTAATGAGTTGCTCCAAATGAAGAATCGGGTATGAGCTTTTGTTAATGGTTTGGCTGAAAAGGGATTAACTAGAAGAGATAGGCTCAAGCAGAAGAGGAGAGTTAGTTATACTATTGCCTAGAAATAGAAAATGAGACTGAAGGTGCTGGAAGCTTTGCTGTTTCCTTAGGAGAGGCAAAACTAGTGCTGTTTGTCTCCTGTAGGTCAAGAAGTCTGCAAACAGCAACATAAGACTCTTTTCTCCCATGTCAGCAGACTATGAACTATGGTTTTGAGTTAGTACTTGACTAATCTCATTAGAGGTGTTTGCTCCTTTTTTCAGGATTTCTGAGATCTCAATGGAAGTTGCTGAAGATGGCAGTGTGTCTGGAATGACTCCTCAGGCTTACTTGATTGAGAAATGTGACTGCCCATTGGGTTATTCTGGTTTGTCTTGTGAGGTACAGTGTAACCTGACTTCCAGTAAAAGTCTTTACACCTTCTTTTGTCCATTCATTAGTAAGGTGGGATAAGTAATTAGTGTGTGAATTCATTTAGGTGGCAACAAGTCTCCATTAATTTAATTATCTGTATTCTTTCTCTCTCAGATACCTCTCTCACAAGCAATTTAAGAACTTAATTTTGTCCAGTTTGCTTTCATTTTGCATGCAAAATAGCACTGCAAATGCATAAAAAATGTAGATGAGAACCATTCTGTAGCATGTCTGTGCTTCATGAAAGATGTTTTCAAAATAGGAAATGCCTACTGTGCATGTTCAAACTGCCAGCTTTCTGTATGCATGTAATTCATTGAAGTGGATCTCTGAAAATAAGCTGAAGAGGGCCACTGAGTTCTGGCAGATATCTTTCCATTTTACTCCCCACAATTCTTCTTCCAGTGCTGTTACAGGATTCCCATAAGGAGATCCTGCTCAGTCCGCATACTAAACCTTGCCACCTGTAATATTTCAGTACGCTTTATATGAGGAATGGAGCTGCTTGTAAAGAGGAGCAGAAATTCTGGAATATGATCCAAATAGTGTATTTGGCTTTATTCTTAGAAGCCAAATGGAATCTCGATGTCTTAAATACAATAGATCTGATACTAATGGAAATTTTTGCCCTGAACTGTTCACGTTTGGTAAATTTCTAATCAATTGAACACTGGCAGAAAAGCGTTGCTCAACTAAGAGAGCTCAGTGGTCCTTATGCACACACTATATTTACTTTTTAATTCTGAAAATATTTTCATGCTGAAGACTGCGTGTTTCAAAAAGTGCCCAAGTTTTATAGAGAATCAGCTGATTTGCATGCTTATGTAAAATTGCTCTTATGGTAGGTACCAGAGGAAGTGTTTAAAATGTAGTATGTTGACTGCAGATTATTAGTTATTTAGACAGTTCTGACTGTCTGTGCTCTTGATAATGAGACTGGCAGTCTTTGTGTGTGGGAAACACCATGCAGTTTTTAAGCAGCAGTAGTAATTCCATATGCTTTGGTTGCAATTGTTATATGGAAGTAGCAGGGAACACCACCTCGACTATTCTGCAAATCCCTCAGACATCCTAAGTGATCTTGTAACAGGTTCCCCCAAGCTAGCAGCGGGAGAAAATTTGGAATGAGTAAATGAAGGGAAAAATGCCTTGATACCTGCGAGAATTCCGCTTTCTTCAGGTGTTATACAGGGCTGTGTTACTCAGCAAATGAGGCAACAGGAACAGGGAGTTCATAGGAACTGTGTTCAAGGAAGTCATTTTCCTTGCACACTGTTTAGGTAAGAGCATACACCTGAGTGTGTGTAAATACACATATGAGAAATTAATGGGCTTCAGCAGTTGCTGAACAGACTTTTTAAAAGTTACTGTAACAAATTACATTTTTGAAGGAAAATGTATGATAATGTAATTAGAACTTTATTTTAATTCACACCCACCAGGGGCTGGAATAAATGTCTCAGTTGCAACCTTCATACTTCATGCTTAATTGTGCAGTCTTCACATGCTCATAACTTAGTTTATTTTTAGTGTGCTCAGTGAAGGTTATGGTGTGTTCTGTGAAGGTTTATTTAATTTCAGCAAAAAAAAGCATCTGATACTCAGGCATTTTTTAAGCAAATGCTAACAGAGTATCTATTTCATGATTTATCCTGTAATTGCATTGTGAAGACTATGTGCACAGCAGTTTTTACTAGAAGTGACATTTATACCCCCCTCCCTTCTTTTTTTCTCTTTTTTTTTTTTTTTTTAATCCAGTAACAGACTGAAAATAAGTAGTAGTAAGAGTTTCCCTAATGGCTACTTCTGAAAAACTTACAAACTAGTAATGAAAAATGTAGTCTTCTTTATCTTTTGCCTGTGTTCCGTTTCATCTCAGGAACGCTTCGATCAAAATAGATGAGAAGAATGTCAATAGCATATCAGAAAAAATAGAAGTTAGATTTGTTTGAGGATGTACCATATATTTATACCTCGATCTTAAAGTCACACTGAACTTGTAAAGCTGTGCTTTGTACCATTTTATGTTTGGACAAGGACTCTTCTGGGGATGGAGAGAGAGGAGAAAAATTAGGAAGTTGTAGTAAGAGAAAAATTACTTTCAGTTGAGGTTATTTATCTAAATTGGAATTTTTTACAAACCATGAAAAGGCAGATAGACTGTTTCTGTGCTTCAGGGATCTGAATGTAGTCTAAGTCAAAATAAAAGGGAAAAAGCAGAAGTGAGTTAGATTACTTTCTTTGTGATTCTGAAGAAAATAATTGTGTTTATGCTTTTTCCATAACTTAGACTCCTGGAGGTTTTGGCAATGATTATAAAACTGTCAGAGTGGTGTCATATGAATAGAATCTAGCATGTCAGCCCATGCTTGACTGAAGAATCTTGCTTTTGATCACAAGAAATTACTTACTCCATGTTATCTTCTAATTTGCATCCTTTTGATTGTGAAAAGTGTACTATTCACATTCTTTCCAAAAAGCACAAATTGTGGTCAACACTAGGAAATAACCTCATCAGACAGCCTTCAGGGTCTCCTAGCACCACTAGATGGTGGGATGTGTACGTGGGACGAGTGGCTCTTCCGTATGCACCTACCCCTAATGGTCTGAACTAGAAAGTGGTCCTGTTTGTATTTTTATGCTGCCATAGCTGTGTGCTTCTGGGAGCTATGCAGACACTTTTATACATTTGCATAATAAGCCTGAAATAAAGATCAAGTGCTTGGTTTTGCGTGCGTCAGCTTTGCTAGTGATTTTTGGGTTGCTCTCAGAATTTTATTGCCAAGCTGGTTTAGAGGAGACTTAGTGACAGATAAATTTGATTTGGGGCTAATAGTCCCAAGACATGGAAAACCTTTAATATTTTGAATTCTTTACTTTTATGGTCTTTAAATTATATAGCTATAAATAATGCAGCCATGCAGTCATTTTTTTTTATTATCATCATTCGGCTTTTGCTTGTTATCCATCAGGCAGTATGGAGGCAGATATTAGCTTGTCAAACCTGAAAAACTCACCAAGGGCGAAGGAAACAGAATCATCACACTTGCTCTCCACAGTCCATGCAAAAAACTTATTTCCAAAACAAACCTTATTCTTAAGAAATGAAAGGAATGATGCGTGATGTACAGTGAGAACAGTGAGGTGTTCTGCGTCTGAATGAAAGGTCTCTCAAGCTGTAATATGAAAAGCCTGGTGCTGGTGGAGTGCTCCAGGGATTTTTCAGCAATGTTTCCAATTAGGGCTGGCTCTTGTTATCTGTAAAGTACTGTATATTGTTTGTAGCACAGCTGGAAGCCTGTCAGGTTCTTTTCACAACTTGTAAAAACTGGTGATTGGAAAGATGAGCTTGCCGTGCTCCCTATACCCAGTCCACTCTGTAATGATCTGTTTTCTTCTGCATCTTTTTTATTGCAGTCATGCTCTCCAGGATTTTACAGGCTTCCATCTTCACCCACAGGAAGAATGCCTGCTCAGTCCTTAGGTGCTTGTGTTGTATGTCAGTGTCATGGGCACAGTACTATGTGTGACCCTGAAACATCCATTTGTCAGGTATTGTATTTCTGAACTTATGCACTAGGTTGATCTTAGTGTAGAATTCGTAAATTGTGTAACTAACTGATCTAAAAAGATAGAGGGCAATATTTTAATCCAATTTTGCTTAAATAAGTGTCAAAGTTTAAGGGGGGGATCAAAAAAAGCAAACCATTTACCTTTAAAGTTTTCCATTCTGATTTTCTAGAGTTTGGATTATGCAGTGCTTTTTTGCTTCTGAATTACTATTTGTGTAAAAAGAAAAACTAAATATCTGCAAGCCAAAGAAGCAATGCACCATGTTGTGCAATAAAACCAACACTGCTCTTAGAGGTAATAATACATGTGACCTGATACAGTAAGATTGAATTTTAATTCGTTATTTCGCCTGCTTCAATGACTGGAACAAAAGAGTGAAGGAAGGATGAATGGGATAAGAAATTCCATAGGATGCATCTGGCTAGCTACAGGCCTTCATTATTTCTCCTTGTAAACTCATACATAGCTCAGCAGGCATTTGATAGATGCTTAAAACAAGCAGTCCCACTGTGAATCATATCAGGGACAGAGAAATTATGAATCGAAATAAGTTCGAATCCCTGAGGCTGGGAACAAAATGTTGTATTCTTTCTTGTAATTATCAAATTCAGCTTTCATTCTGTCTGCTTCCTCTGCAGAATTGTCAGCACAATACTGCTGGTCACCACTGTGAGAGATGTGCACTGGGATTTTATGGCATTGTCCAAGGCTCTCCGGGTGACTGTCAGCCTTGTGCTTGTCCCCTACCCATTTCTAGTAACAAGTAAGTAAGCAAACTCATGACACAGAATTACCTCTCCAGCAAGCAAGAGCTTTGTTTTGTGTTCACTGTGTCCTTTTCAGATGGCCACAGGAGAACTGCGTCATGTGGAGCCGTACTAAAAAGTTTCCTATCTACTTCTGTTAATTGATCTTCCTTTAAAAGTCGGAAATTGCTCCCTTGCTAATTTGTGATGAATAAATTAATAAGTGCTAGAAAATGCAATACTCAACAGATAATGAATGTGTGTTATAAAGGTATTCTCACAAATGAAGCTAGAGCGGAACTCAAGTACAATATAGCCACAAGGGAGCTGTAAAAAGTCTTATGCTCATATATTATGTTGGTATAAATGTGTTACATTGCCTTTCTTGCTCCACTGTGGAATTTATTGATTCCTTATTTAATGTTACATGAGTTTCAGGCAATTTGTGAAAGATAGAATAATTTAAAAGCAATATAGTTATTGCAGCATAAATTTTATTGGTTGCTTTATGCTAATGAGCCTTACCACGATGTCTCCGCATGTGTTCCCAATAGATGATACTCTAGCACTTGAGATTTGTTTGTTGTTTTGCTGAGAAGCTCTTAATGATATTTGGAATCATACCATAGCACTGCTCTGAAACGGGCTGTGGTTCATGATCATCCACTTGAAAGGTTGGAAGCGTTCCTTAAACCCATTTTTCTGTGCTTTGCCTGATCTTTAGGATGTTTTAGTGAGTATAACTGAGAGTTTGGTTTTTTTTTCTTCTGCATTTTATCATTTTGGGGTCGTCAGGGGTTTATTTTGTAGGAGAGAATTCCTTTCTCAAACATCATAGCTAAACACATCATGATCTTTCATCCTCATAAGTGTTTTTAAGAAGACTTCCAAACTCATGAATACTAAACTGAGACCCAAAAGAATTATAAAAGGGGCTCAAAGAAATACGCTTTATCTCAGAAGGATATAATGACGTCTTAACTTCAAGGTTTTCTGAGTTGTACCCTTTTTGATGAATGTTTTCTGTTACAATTTGATTATTTTCCTACCTACTAGTATCAGGAAGGGAAATTCAAGTTGCAAATACACTGGAAAAATAACTTTTCCTGTCGTTAACTGGCAGTAGGAAGGGCTGAAAACATAATTCAGTCCTGGTTTTTTTTCTGGGGTTAAAGAACCTTTGGTTGCCCAGAAATACAGGTGTCAGATCAGAAAATCAACATGTCCAGAAACAGAACTACTTGGGTTTTGTAGAGCTTAACTCAGATGTCTCTAGACATCTCGGACAGGATTTTTACTTGTTAGCTGTAGCCATTAGCAATTTTGGTACCTGTATATAGATGCAGGGACAGACAACTATACATCTCACCCATGTTAAAACTGAAGGAAACCACCACTGGAGAGAAGGCAGGGAAGGCGATGTTTCATATGTGTGTGTATGCCTGTCTGTGCATCTCCATTTTCCACTGCTGGTTAAGGATGACTACATGCCTAACTTTTAGATGGATAGGACTAGGTGGGACAGATCCATTCCCTAAAGCCTACAGAATTAGGTGGAAAACAAGGGTACCACACCTTGGATTTGTGTGTATTGTGCAGCTCATTGAAAGCACTTTACGATACTATTGAGATTAAAAAATATAACTGCCTGCAGCTGTTGTATGGTAGTCGAGTAACCATAATCTGTATGAAATGCAGATAGCTAAAGAGCTGTCTCATTAGCTTATGATGTCATAACTCACATGATAATATTTATGAATAGACATAGTGCAATTTAATTTCATTTATTAAATTTTACAGAACTCTACTAAGGTCTTAAATACTGGTTTTATACTCCTGTACAGTCAACAGTCAGCTTCAGATGTGATGAGCTGAAAAACAAAAAACCAGAACAGAGAGAATAAGTTCTTTCTGGGGGTGTGGATCTATTTTTATAGAGTTGAAAATGTGTTGGATAATGAGTTTGTGAGTAATAGATCAATTTGTTTGCAGTTTTTTGCAAAGCTGTAATTTTATATACTCATTCAATTACTATTGATTTAATGCATTATAAGCAAGTTACAGTAGGATGCTGACTGTACTGTACCTAAAAGGAGCTCTGGGCTCACTGTTAGCCACCTCTGTGCTTTTCTGCTTCTTCTTTTACGAAGAACTGAGTTGTACAGTATCACGCCATTTTAATATTTAGTTGTACTTCTTTTCCCCTACCTAACCTTTCTCTTTAACTGTGCAGGCACGTAATGCACTAATGTTCTAACAACATGTTAGTTTGCACAGTTCCCACAGGTACACGCTGCAGTCACTAGCTATTCATCTATGTCATGGCCTAATAAAAACAAAGTAGCTTTTCCTATGATTAAAATAGGAACCTTCCCTGATCATGTAGAAGGTAGCTTTTAGTTTTGTTTTGTTTTTTCTTTTTTTTTTCTGTAGGCCAGTGTTTTCTCTTCAGTATGTCCTTGAGAAGATCATCTGACACTGCCTTTTAGGAAGATTTCATATGGCTATGACTTTGTTTCCTTTCTCCCTCTGTGTGTCTTACCTTTGAGTAAACTCTTCACAGCTTATCTCCTTTCATTCAAACTAAAGTTAAATCAGACTGAAGAGGGTTGATGTTTGCTAGCTCAGTTTCTTCATAGAATCATAGAATG